AATGGGAATCACCCACGAGCTCTCCCGCGAGCCGTCCTGGCGCAACGCAGGGGAACGATTTTACTCTATCGCTTTGTTCTAAGCAAGGGGGGCATCCCGGGGCACGAAATGTGCAGGGTAGGAGGGGGTAGTGACGCTGGGTGCAACTAAAAAGGTGCCATTGTCCGGTGAGGTCCGGTTGGGGAGTTACGTAACGATCTCATATCGCATAATCTTATTAACTGTTTATCTCCTGAACTGCAACTTTCTTTACCATGCTATTCAGCGCCAATCCCGCAGTGCAGTCAATTTCACTGGTTAAGGTTAGGGTCAGGTGTGGGGTAGGTTTAAGGGTTAGCTTTTTTGTAGCATAGTGTAGGAAATCAACACTTTAATTGACACAACCAATAAAATATTTAGAATCAGCTGTGGGGCGGAGTTTGCACTGAAGTGGATTGGGGGAAAAAATTACGCATGCGTGTCATGTGCCTGTCTGTCAATGGGAGGAAGACATGGCCTATTTTGGAGCTCCCACCCCGTTTTGGAGTTCCCGCCTCCATTTGGATATCTCCAGGCTGCAGTTATACCCTTCTCAGAAATATGGCTTGAAACAGCCCTTGGTTTGCTACGTCACAAACCAATAACCAATCAAGTCAAGGTATTGATTCCTATCACTAGCATGCAAAATATACCAATACCAGCACAAAACCAAAAATAAATCAGAGCAAAAAACCCATGAAGCTGTGGTTTAATGTGAATTTAGAACTGCTAACTTGCATTATAACCCGTGGCAACAGTGTAAAAGTAGCCCGGAGTCAGACGCACCTCTCCCGCAGCTGCGTCTGCACTTCATACGCGTATGCTCGCTGGCGCGAATTAACAATCACAAACGGCTGCATTCGAGTCTTCAAGGCATTTTAGGACACAACGTCGTCAAGTAAGTAACTTCAACGAATGTTACAGTATTCACTGTAGTTGTCCGCTAGTAAAAACATAGTTCCCTTTCATGGGAACTTCGAACTGCGTCCTCTAGGGGTCGCTATGGGGAACGCCTCGTCGTGACCCGT